AAGAAGAAGAAGAAGAAGAAGAAGAAGAAGAAGAAGAAGAAGAAGAAAGAAGGAGAAAGAAGAAGAAGAAGAAGAAGAAGAAGAAGAAGAAGAAGAAGAAGAAGAAAGAAGAAGAAAGAAGAAGAAGAAGAAGAAGAAGAAGAAAGAAGAAAGAAGAAGAAGAAGAAAGAAGAAGAACAAGAAGAAGAACAAGAAGAAGAAGAAGAATGTTAAATGAGAAAGATAATAACCTACAGGTATAAATGCTTTTAATATTCCTAAAGCCCCTTCTGTACATGATTTAATCTGCTGCATCCTTGAGAGAGAAGCTTAGCCCAAGGTTCCTGCTCAAGTTCGTGGGGCTAGTGACCGGCTGCTTAGAACTCAGATGTCCTTGCTCCTGCTGGAGCTTCAAACCCCCTCTGCCTTCAACAAGCGGGTTTTGGTGAAACCCAGTCCTTCTTCACATATTCAACCTAGTCTACTGTGAAAGAAATTTCAATGAGGAAGAAAAGGCTGTATTTCTCTTTGAAAAATGACAAAAAGATACACTTGAAAACAAGAAAGTAAAATTCTAGTTTGACACGGGAAAGCCAAATGAAGCTTTTTTCCCCTCTAGGCTAAAGGCTACCATTGGAGGGGCGCCTGGGTGGCTCAGTCAGTCAAGCATCTGACTTTGGCTCAGTTCATGATCTCAGGGTTCTGAGATGGAGTCCCACATTGGGCTCCCCACTGGGGGTCCCTCTCCTTCTGTTCCTCTCCCTGCTCGTGCTCTCGGTCTCTCTCAAATAAACAAATAAAATCTTAAAAAAAGACTAACATTGGAATATATAAATATTAAACATTTAATATTTAAAGCATTACTTTATTTTATTTATTTGACAGAGAGAGAGAGACAGAGAGAGAGGAGTGGGGGGAGAGGGAGTATGTATGTTTGTATAAGTACATGTAAAACCCTTGGGCCAGAGCATTTATATCTAGTTAGCTATCCCCTCCCTCATCCCACAAAATGTTGTATCAAAGCAGATAAATTCACAAAGCCTCTCTGACTCTTCTGCAAAATAGGCTCCTTCCTTCCGGTCATGGCATCCGTGGCGTCAAGGTTGCTAGAGAGAGCGCAGGATTCAACCTTCGGCTGCGTTCAACGACCACTGAGAAGTGAGAGGTACAGACGATAAAGGTCAACATCAGCTAGGAAAGGTGACTGACAATTTATATTGTGCCTCCACATTTTCCGAGTGTAGTTTAATGACCTTTCTCAATTTTCCAGTAATTCCTTAGTAACCGCGTTAACTGTAAAAAAAAAAAAAAAAAAAAAAATCAATGAGGGGCGCCTGGGTAGCTCAGTGGGTTAAGCCTCTGCCTTCTGCTCAGGTCATGATCCCAGGGTCCTGGGATGGAGCCCCGAATCTGGCTCTCTGCTCAGCAGGGAGCCTGCCTCCCCCTCTCTCTCTGCCTGCCTGTGATCTCTGTCAAATAAATAACTAAAATCTTAAAAAAAAATCAATGAAGTAAGACAGTAGACGCTCAGCTGTGATGTCAGGCCGAAGTCTGTTTCCCGGCGCTATACTGATACAGATTTTAGATGTTCCCGTTTTCACCCCGAGGCGATGGCACTGTGTTCTGACAGTGGGCTCTGTCAGGATGTCTCCCTCCGAGACCGGAAAGTGCTCTTCGAGCGCTCAGGGTCCCTCCGTTAAGGAGATCTGAAGACCAGAAGAGGGGTCAGGACTGGGGAGAGGGCAAACCTTTGCCAGGAATCGGGGCCTTCCACATTCCCTTTGCGCAAAGACCCACACAAAGTGTGGTTGATTCCGAGGGAGTGTGGGGGGTGGGGGAAAGTGGAGGGGAAAGAGCGTGGCAGCCGAGGTTATGGGAATAAAAACACCAGAGGCCTTTCCCTGGACATCAGTATTCAGGATGCTCATTAGCCAAATGGACGGATCCTCCCCTCCCTGCACCCGCCACAACCCTCCCCAGAGACAGCTGCAGGCCTTTACCCCTCTGGCCCCCAGGGTGGGCGTGGCTTAGCAGGCACCGGGCTCTGAGCTGTCTCCTCCCCGCCCCCTTAATTATCAGACCGCGGCCGGGCTGCACACGAGCCTTTATTTGCGAGGAAGAGGTCGAAGTGGGAGAAGCAAATCCATTACTTGCCTCAAGCTCACTCTTTTAAGTAGGCGAGGAGCCCAACGGCTCCTGAAGGAATTCCAGGGACCGAGAGCAAGAAGCTTGCTCTGGGGGTCCCCTGTATGAGTTGGTTGGGGTTACCGGAATCAATGATCACAACAGGGCCAGCTTCACGAACAGAAATGTGTGGTCTCGCAGCTAGGGAGGCTGGAAAGTGGGGGTGAAGATGCGGGCGGTACTGGTTCCTTCTGAGGGCGGTGAGGGGGCACGTGTTCCAGAACTTGCTCCTCGGCTTGGACATACCGTCACTCATACCTGACGGCCTCTGTCAAGGCCCAGTCTCCGGAGAACGTCACGGTCCAAGGCCCTGGGGGATGGTACCTCAACGCAGGGGTGTGGGGGGACACAGATCCCCCGAGAAGCCCCCCAACCCCCCACCGCCCACCGCCCACGCCAGCCGTTTTCTCCTGCCGCCTCACGCCGATGTCCCCCTTCCTCCGCTGCGGGGCTTCCGGCTCCACCTCCCCACTTCCGGCCGCCGGGATCACGACACCACGCGCGGTTTTACGCCGTTCCCGTTTCCTCTCCGTGTCCCTTTCCCCCGCGGTCCTGGATGATTTCCCCTGTGTGGGCAGCCCGTGAAGCAGGGGAACCTCTCACTTCTCTGACTTCCTCTGCACCGAGGTGATCTTCACCTTCGTTTCTCTCCCACTCTGTAACTTGCTCCCCGAACGCGGTGTGGATCTTGGCAATCGCAGGAAGCTAGTACCATCTCTGAAATCTGGAAGACCAATACCGACTCCGGAATCCACTCCCAGCTCTCCCTCCCGTACGCCCATCAATCCTGCTCTTGGGGCTGACCAGCCCCTCCCCCCATCCGTTTCTCATCTCTCCGCTCCCTTCTAGCTCCTTCTCCTGCATACCATATGCATATGCTGTCCAGTGAAGTCACCACTGGCCACATAGGGTTATTTACGTTTAAATACAATTTAAAAATTCAGGTCCTGGGTCATCCTAATCACATATCAAGTGCACGATAGGCTCACGTGGCTAATCGCGGAACAGCAGAAAGTTCTAAGGATGATACCGTGCAGGATCTCTCAGTTGTCCCTTGAACTAATTTTTCAGGCACTAGCATCCTGCTGAGTAAGTGAATAAACGCTCAGGAATTCGATGTCTTCGTCTTTTCCCTGCATCTTGATCAACCGATGCATAGAGGTGAATCGGTCCTACCACCTTCCCTGTTCTTGCTTCTACATCTGACTGATGTGCACAGCTGGAAAAGTTACTCAGCGGGGTATCACGTCATGATCCTCATCTATAAAATGGGGTAATAGTAGTGCTCATAAGATGATTGGAAGGACTGAACGACATAAGGCCAAAAGGTGTTTAACATATCTGGCAAATAGCAGCTCAATATTTATTATTATTTTTATTATGATTATTTTTAAATTTCAAACCTCCGTTGGAGTTTCATGTTGTCATCTGCCTCCCTATCTTTTCCAGTAAGTGCATCCCCACCCTTTCCTACTCCTACAGAGACATTTTATTTTCTATTTTTAAATTTAAATTCAATTAGCTAGCATATAGTACATCATTAGTTTTGGATGTAGCGTTCAATAATTCATGCATTGCGTATGACACCAAGTGCTCATCCCATCGCGCGCCCTCCTTCACACCCATCACCCGGCTGCCCCATCCCCCTGCCCATCTTTCCTCCAGCAAACCTCAGTTTGTTTCCCAGAGTTTAGAGTTTCTTTTGATCTGTTTTCTTCTCTGATTTCTTCCCCATCAGTTTTCCTTCTCTACCCCGGTAATCCTCTGCGCTATTCCTTATGATCCACATATGAGTGAAACCATAGGATGATTGTCTTTCTCTGTTGACTTATTTCACTTAGCACAATACCCTCAAGTTCTATCCACATCCACGTAAATGGTAGGTATTCATCCTTTCTGATGGCTGAGTGATATCCATTGTGTATATAAATAACATCCCTAAAGAGACATTTTATTTTATTTATTTATTTTTAAAGAATTTATTTATTTATCTGACAGAGAGAGATCACAAGTAGACAGAGAGGCAGGCAGAGAGAAGCGGGGCGAGAAACAGGCTTCCTGCTGAGCAGAGAGCCCGATGTGGAACTTGATCCCAGGACCCTGAGATCATGACCTGAGTTGAAGGCAGCGGCTCAACCCACTGAGCCACCCAGGCACCCTAAAGAGACATTTTAGAAGCTCCTCTCCTTTGCGTTTTACCTACAACATGTCAGTGGGAGATAATTTTCTTTGCAGTTAGTAATTCTTTGTAGAATAAGGCAGATCTGCTTTAAGGTGGTGATTTTTAGTCTCTAAAACTTGTGGTAATTCCCTCTTTTAATATAAGAAAAAAACAAGATCTGATTTCTGGAAGTGTCT